GCACCCAGAAAATTATCAAACTGCCATAAGTCAAGACAGAGAATATTATTTCAATTTTGAGCTTATTCACTCTTTTAACGTTTATGGCTTCATCATACTATCTCCTGCCCATAACCACAAAATAGTTTCAAATATGTACACGTTGTCAATACTGGGTGTATTATAATAGAAGTTCCTGCAGTTATATGTCATCAAATGCAATATTATTGTAGTTAACATAGCCATTGTTGTGCTCCAGACAAAAACTTAAGTGAATACGACATGTCCCAACCTCGAAAATCATATACTGGGGAGCAGAAACGTTTTATGCAAGCAGTTAGTTCACATGGGTATGGAGGTGTATCTCATCCCAACTTTAAATTGTCTTAATAATAACATCAGGATACACAGAAGCTAGAATAATAACTTCTGAACCAAATTCATTGACAGAGCAAGACACAGTAAAAGTAAGTGAACGACTTGTAGGAAAACAACTGTACAGCGCCTTTCAGTTATTATGTATAACAATCTGTATAACAACAAAAGAGACAAATTTTAAAGTGCAAGCACTCCACGAGTCGAGCATGAGCGGCTGTCAAGGGGCAAAGATATGGAAATTTATTTGCGTTGCAGTCAACGAATTACGAGAGCGTAGTTATTGCTTCCGATATAAATCACTGCTTTTTGTAAAACCAGGATTAAAGCAGAAATTTAAAAAAAACTACACTGAGACAACTTGCCCAGATTATCATTTCCAGTAGTCGTTAGAAGGGGAAGGTACGCTTTCGACTACTTGTACATATGAAAACAATGATCTAAAATTATAAACACTCAGTATACAAAAAAAATGCGTGTTTAATTAGTCCTTTTCCTTTTACAATTTGAAGCATTCATAGCATTGATGAAATCAAGTGATTTACGGATCGCACTGTACACAAGAATTGTTCAAAACCATCTAGGCACTCACCATTCTTCACTATCGAGATCGCTGCGGGCGAGTGGTAGGCTCGATGTTTTCTGGCGACGCACGAACTTCATCAGCTTCGGACGATCTTCCAGGCGGCTCAAAACGCCGGGGCTGAATTTCCGTGAAGGGCTGCCCTATACTTCGCATTCTAAAAGTTTTTCTGGAACCGAATAATCGAACAAAGAGGTAGCGCTATCACTTGAAGAACTACAGTCAGTCATATTCGAGATCATCTGTTGTTCCACACCTGTGACGTCACGTCACGTGATAGGCAAAATCGAAGCGTTAATGGCGGAAGTTCGAGTAAGCGGCAAATTTAACACTTTGAAACTCGATTTCTGAGCCAAATAGATCGCTGAAGATATATTTCTTGATGGTATTACAATAAGAAAAACATTTGCAAGGTTTTTCTGAAAAATATTGTCCTACGCGAGAGTTGCCCCGAACATGTCAAAAATCTGCGTTTCAACATTCACTGTTTTGAGGTTATGCTAATTTTTCCAAAATAATGCACACTATACATACCTCCATGACTAGTACATTTTAGTTTGAGTATGTTCAATGTTTTACATTCAAAAGATGCGATAGGTGGTGAGAAAACCGGTTAGTTTTCAAGATCGCAAGCATGAAAATACCCCAAAATTTCCTAGCATCAAAACATGATATTAAGTAGCATTCTGACGCTACTTAAGAATAATTTGAGTCATTTATAACGTTTTTATTAAATAATCTATCATAGCTATTGAAAACTTAAGGTTTGAAATATATTTTCGTTTTAGTCGAGGAATTCAAATATACAGAATTTTCTATTTCTTACGGAGATTTTGAAAGGAGAGGCCTTTTGGAATCTAACAAGAGCTAAACTTTGCAAAAAATTTCTTAAGAACCCAAGGTCGCTGTTGAAAAGACTTATAAAACTTCTAAAAATAAGCTAAATCACCTAATAAGGATTGCGAATAAAACTTCTATGATCATAAACTTTCAGCCTCCAAAAATGACATAAAAACTACGTGGAAAATCCTTAATGAGGTACTTAATAAACGCAAATCTAAACTAACCTACTCCTCTTGTTTTAAAGGTAATGGTGAGCTTTTCTCAGATCCCACTTCTATTGCCATCAGCTTTAGCAAGTATTTTTCTAACATTAGTCCCAATTTAGCAGCTAGGATCTCACCCTCCACTGCTAACTTCAGAGATTTCTTAAGCCAAACCACAGAAACACCTTTGGAATTTCAGCCTCTCGCAGCTGATGAACTTAAAGCCATTTAACAATTATTCTTTGAAATCGAGGTGAATAGTGGCAAAATATTTACCGAGCCGCGAAAGCGGCGAGGTAAATATTCCCAAAGCCACTATTCACCGAGATTGAGAAGAATAATTGTTTTAGTATATACACACGAAGTGATCTCAACAAAATCAGAAAGGAAACCATTCAAAAGTAGGATTTGATTGACAGATCAAATCACGCGTAAGTTTAAAAATAGATCTTTGCAGAATTTTCAAACATGGCAATTCACAAGTTTACTCATTTCGCAAACAACAGCGTAATGGCTTCAATGGAATCGCTAAAAGTTTGAACTGTTTCCTTACCTGAGAAAAAAAGTAGAGCTGTGTTGTTTTCTGTTGACTCGCCAAGTTTATAGCCAAAAGGGCATGTTGTGTCGTTCTTCGCATGAAGTGCTGACAAAAATGGCGGCTCGGTTGCTCGAGGTAAGAGGTCGTCTTCCTGTATCATTCTTTTTCCTGTTTACTTGAAATGTAGAATTTCTGCAAACATTTCCTTTTAAATTTGTTTGTCATAAATAAACTTCGATTTTTGAGCCAAAATTTTCTTCTTAGAAAACGCTGAGTTCACGAAACGGCTTCTTCTACGCGAATACACGGGAGTTGTAAACAATCCATCGAGCACGAAACTCCTGCTACAGTAAATTGAAAAACGCCGTATTGAATCCTTCCAAGTCTTTTCTTGCCTTAAAAAAAGTCAGCCCTAGGATTTTGTCGACTTTTAAAAGATCGTTCTCTAAAAAAAACGGGAAAAACACCGAGCTCACACATTATCCACTCGCTAGGAGGTGAATATTGTTGAATAGTCCGAGATAGCGAACCAATCAGATTGCTTAAATCACCAAGATCACTGAGTGTGTATATACTAAAGTACATTGTTTTAACTCTTATAGAGCTTCTGGAGTGAATAATAATCCAATGAGAATCATTAAACTCAGTATCGACATTATTGTTGAACCCTTAACTGAAATTATTAACGTATCTTTAGTAAGCGGGTGCTTTCCTGATACCCTCAAAATCGCAAAAGTTCTCCCTATTTTTAAAACTGGTGATCCAGAAAAGCTTGAAAATTATCGGCCCATTTCCATTCTTCCAGCTTTTTCTAAACTTTACGAAAAAGTGGTTTATAATCGTATTTACAGATACTTACAAATCATAATCTTCTTTACAACAATCAGTTTGGATTTCGTAGAAAACATTCTACGTATATGGCATTGATTCAGTTGGTTAATAATGTTGTTTCTGCCATGGATAACAGAGAGTCGACTGCTGGAGTTTTCTTGGACCTTTCGAAAGCTTTTGAAACTATTGATCATCATATTTTGCTCAATAAGCTCGATCACTACGGTATTGGAGAGCATTCTCGCTTTTAATTGGGTCTCTAGCTATTTGACAACAGGAAGCAGCTTGTTAAGTTTACTTCAGCATGTTCCCAAACCGGAACCAGTTGTATGTGGTATTCCCCAAGGATCACTTCTAAGACCTTTTTTGTCTATTATTTATATTAATGACCTCCCTAATGCATCTAATCTGTTAAAGACTTTTTTATTTTCGGATGATACTAGCTTTTTTTATTCTCATAAAGATCCTAACCAGCTCATTCGTGTCATGAATTGTGAATTATCAAAAATATCTGAATGGCTCAAAGTATACAAATTATCACTCAATGTCGCCAAAACAAACTATATTCTTTTTCGACCCAGGCAAAAACCCATAACTGTTAGTGATACAATTACGGTAGATAATATTCCTGTGCAACATGCTGAAGGGACGAAGTTTCTTGGTGTTTTATAAGATCAGCATCTTTCTTGGAAATATCATATATATCATGTTGCTAAAAAAGTATCAAAGACTATAGGAATCATCAGTAAAGCTCGTTTCTTTCTTTCTTCTCAATCTTTGCTGTCCTTATACTAAGCATTGGTTTACCCGTATCTTAACTACTGAAACACTGCATGGTGCTCAACGTATCCATCCAATTTTAAAAGTCTTCTCTACCCACATAAACGCATCATCAGAATCATTTGTGGAACTAAATTTCTTGCCGACACTGCACCTCTTTTTCGGACTCTTTAACAAAATGAATCCTTGACATTTTTAGCATCAATGCGCTCTTTGTTGCGTGTTTTATGTACTCATATCATAATAACCTCCTTCCTCATACTTTTAACACCACCTTTGTTACTAATCGCCAAGTACACACATACAATACTCGAAATGCTAATAACAACCGACCTTTTTTTCTGTAGAACAAACATTAAACAGTTCACAATCCTCCATCCCTTCCCCATAATCTTACGGAACTGACAAGTTACTCTAGTTTCAAGACCTCATTAAAAAAATGCCTCATCGAGAGAGCTATAAATTAAACTCGCCTGACCATGATTTGACAGCTGACATTATATCATAATTAAGTATCAGGAGCCCACTTTTCTACAAGCTATTTAGCTTCTATTGGGCTTCCTCGCCACTCTATCTGTGACAAAATTGCAATCTTAGTAATAGTATGTATATAGTTTTCATTTTCTTTGTATAATATGTACTTTGTGGCAATTGTAAATAAATAAATAAATAAATGACAAATCGCTTGTTAAACACCAAACTTTAAGTTCCTAGTCTTGGAATTTCAGTAGCTGGTCTAGATCACACAGAATTCGGCTTTTATCGCGCGCGAGAGCTCCACTAATAAAATTACCTTTTAAGTTTAAAAAGTTTTTTACATGTGACTGCAGAATCATTGAACTGGACAGCACAACCAACTAATCCCATAATGGTAAGAAGTGGGCAAGACGTCTCGCTAACATGGAACTACTCCCTCACTTCTTATGAACAAAATAATAGTCAGACGTTGTTTATGGTCAGATGGAGAAAGTTTGATCTTGGAACTTCATCTTTTGATGTGTTTGCAACTTACGTCAAAATCACTGGGTCTTCCGCAGCTTATCACCAACCCAATGCTCCACGCATTGTAGTTGACAGATCTACTGGAAATGTTTCAGCTACTTTACAATTCAAAAATGTCAAGTTGGAAGATGCAGGAATTTATAAAGTTGAAGTTGCTGTAGGGTGGTTCCCTGGGCCCGTAACAATTGCTGAGCAAGAGTTTTACTTCATTGTTTTAGGTAAGGGCTGCACCTTACATAAATTTGAAATGTCGCTTTTAATTATAATCACTGGCCATTCGTTCATGCATACACTTCGCATATTATTATTGATACGTTTAATACATTGATGCCTCCACTCTGATAAAAATTTCAAAACATCCAAAATTGCGAATTATAAACTTTGGTTGCTACTCTCTTACTCTTTCTTTCACGCACCTTATTGTCAGAAGAAAGCAAGATGTACTCTTGCGCTTTGTTTACATACCCTGGCTCAAGGAAGTTGATGTTCGAAAGAGAACGGAAGAATTTTGGTCAAGGAATAAATTTCTTAGAAAATATGTGAATGAAGCGATAAAACTAGTTATAAATCCTGGTTAAATTACAACGGGTACTAAACAGCTCGGCTAAAGCTACGTTCAAACGCACGCAATAACCAACAATTTTGGCCGGTTTCAAACTTTGCGCAACAACATACAACAACATAAAACAAGGTGTGCAAGCGGACGCAACATGAAACATCCAATAATGAGTTGTTGGCCAGCAATGTTGTACATTTAAAACGGTTTTTATGTCATGTGTGTTGACTTCCTGTTGAGATGCAAATAAAGTTCAAAGTAGCTAAAGGAGTCTAGCGCCCCAGTACCAATCTTACTTACAAATTGATGCAACATTGTATGCCAACAACCCCCAACATTGTTGGATGTTACATGTTGCGCCTGTTTGCATACCCTGTTGCATGTTAGTGCTAACACTTACGAAACAACTCCCAACAACACACAACAACATGCAACGGGTGTGAAGATGGACGCAACATGTAACATCCATCAATGTTGGGGGTTGTTGGCTAGTGAACAATATTGCGTTCGTTTGCACGGGGCTTTAGGCAATCGTGCTTTTAGGCACCGCACAAACGGATACAGCATTTTTGGCCTACAACTTCCAACATTTTTAGATGTACACACCCTGTTGGACAAAGTTTGAAATTGGTCAATCATTTAGCTTCGTGCGAAAGGACGCAACAAACGGACGGCGCTTCTCATAGGCCGCTCTTTCACTTTGGAATAGTTAATTAAAGAGCCGATATTAATGGGCACTTTAATAGGGCTTTGTGAGTCGTTTTTAAACTAAGGTTATGTTCACACTGTATCAGATAGGTTTTCCCGGTGCTACGAAAAGCTATTCGGTACAAGCTCCAATGTTAACTGCTTTAGCTCGGTCAGCCTTTCCCAGTAAGATTTATCTGATCCACATCTCAAACGAGAGGCGCAAGACTGGATGCTCTAAAATTTTTTAGTGATAGTCATGACAATATTACAAAAAATAAACTATTTTTCTCGTCTACTTTAAAGTAGTAAGAATATCTAACACTTATGGCGAAAATGTATAAAGACGAATACAACAACTAGTAAGGCAAATTACCAATGAAAAACACTAGCGACATGAAGAGAGGCCAAACGAATACACCCATCTCTGAGATGATCGGATCGTTTTGCGTCTCTAGTATAAATAAGAGTACAAGACGCATTATGTGTCCAGACAAACTTTTCTTCGAAATGAGTCTTGAACGAAGCATAACGAAAGGTAGTTCATTTGGACGCATAATGCGTCTCTGGGTGCAAATACGGGCAACAGACGAAGAACGATAAAAATGAGGTCGTGGAGGCAAGCTCAAAGGTTAGCGAAAAAGAGCGAATCCTGCAGGAACAGAGCTCAAATACTTCGCCCTCTTTTCTCAACTCATCTGGAACGTACTAGCTATTTTCTTTTGTTGTTTTTAATTACGATTGCTAACTTAACAAGGGGTTCTGAACGTTTCTTTAACATTTTCCCTTATATTTTACATTGGAGATTTAAAAACTCTTCTGCTTTTTTTGTTACGAGCACAAACGCGGCCGCTGGAGCCCACAACCCCATAAATTTTACCACCAAAACATATTTGTGTCCATCTTTTTTTTATTTCGGCCGCGCGAAATATCTCGCATTGTTCGTCTCTCGTAGGTTGTCTCGTCATTTGTCCCGTCTTTAGACTGGACGTATGGCACGAGGGACGCATTATCCGTTTGGACGGATATTTCTTTATCCATAGTATCATGAAACAGCCAATAATAATTTAAGTCATCATATGACTTTTCAAGGTCTTCTAGCTTGAACGTTAAACTATTAGCCTGTCACTAACGTTTAGAAAGTGTACAACAATATGCTAGTAAAATCGAGCGCTTTTAAAACTAAAAAAAAAAAAAAAAACGACGACGTCAAGAAAGCGATAGAGATGCCAAGAAATCGACAAAAGGTCTGGTAGGTGCTTTATAACTCTTCTTTTCCCTTCCTGTGGTCCCTGGTTCCCCGCTTCGTCACCAGTCACTCGCGTTTCGCGCTCACCTTTGTGTCACCTTACGTTTCTTTGCGATCAAAGTGCGGAAAAGGAGGTAGGAAACGAGAAATAACCATCATGCGCCAAGACAATCATCCCTGCCGTATTTCTACTATCTTATACACGCGCAGGATATGTTGAACATATACTTGGTAGTGGCTATATCAACAATCTCTACCAATAACCCTTCTGCGCATGGCCAACAGAGAGAGAAGAGCTGGGGAAACCCTGGGACAAGGTTTTATCTGACTTATTTATTAAAAACAATAAGAATGTTTCTGATTGGTCTATTCAAATTCGCGGGAGAACGTGGAATGTTGAGGTGAGTACACCCTTAATTTATTTTTGTACCATTTCAGAAGTCATATCGGCGACTTTCACAGCCGAAAAAAATTCCCCAATCTTCAAAAACAAAAAACATTAGTTACGTATAGAAAATTGCTAAGATGAAGACCGAAAGGTGAAAATAAATAAAAATACACTGGCATCTTAGCAAGTTGATTGCGGTTTGTAGATGAGCATCTGAACAGGCGAGGCTCAAAGAACGCCAAAAGCGCTCACTGGAGCCTTCACTACTATAACAAAATGGAAACTTATCGATGTGAGGAAATTTGGTTATGATGCCAGCGTTTGTCCTTCAGCGCATACAGACTGTGGGGCTTGAGGTGGAAAGACTCAGTAAGGGAACGGAAGGAAGTCCTAGACATGTACCTTACGTTTGTTTTTGACGTAAAATTAACCAGTTTAAGGGCAACCAAAGGAGTTGCTCGAGTAATAATCTACATTGCAGTTTCTTGTGTTCTACTGAAGATAATAGGAAATAGATTGTTAAGGCTTTGCGTTTTGCTTTGTCACGCTTTTTGTCACGTTCCAAGAATAATGTTCTCTCAGATTGTTTAAAAACTTTGCTGCATCTAGAAATATGTTTGCCGACATAGAGTGATCATGAACCTGAAGCTTTTTGCCATGGAAAGCGAAGTATTCAAGGAAACCTGTTTACCGTTAAACTAGCCCCTGCTCGTGTGGAACTTAAAGTATATTCTCCTCGAGCTCATGTCCTTTTTTCGCACCATTGAAATTTCCGTTAGTGACGTTGAAAGGTCATTTGCCAATTCTATACCCGGTCTATAATGTTGGGAGGCTTCCTTAACTTTTTGCTTTCTTCCTAGCTTATAACTTTGATGAGAACTCTTTATTAAAAAAGTTTTAGGATTAAGACTGTTCATTTTTTCATGGAGGAGGGGGAGAGGCTCGTGGGATTTGACGTGTAGCTCCTGTGGTATGATCCCCCATCTTCATTAGAATTTTTTGGGGGTGGCCTCCCCTCGTATCTTAGATTAATTGAGATGATAATAAATAATAACAATAGTTATTAATAATAATAATAATAATACAGATAATAAAACAAAACATGAACCGCTAATTGTTTCTTTAACAATATTTTTGAGGGCATAAAGTCCCGTGCAAACGAACGCAACATTGTGGGCCAATAACTCCCAGCATTGTTGGATGATACATTTTACGTCCGTTTGCACACTCCGCATGTTGTTGCGTGTTGTTGGGAGTAGTTTCGGGAAATTTGAAACCGAGCAAGTGTTGGGAGTTGTTTGCGTCCTGCGGCTCGTAGCTTAAGATTCGACTTTATTAAACTCCTTCTTCTATTTGCGGAATAAAATTTAAAACTTGAGAGGTGGCAAACCTTATCCGAGAGAAGGGGATGAAAGACCACGGGTGTATCTGCATTACTGACTGAATTTTCTCTACTTCAAAACTAAAGACGGCGGTTAGTTAACGCGTGGACTACTGAGTTAAGGGAAAAAATACGCCTGCAATGTAGGGTTGGGAATAAGTCACTTGAAGTGTTTCTTCTTTTTCCAGTGCCTCCTCGAATTGCTAATGTAAGTAATGATCAAGTAGTTTGTGAAAGCTCTTTGATTTTCTTGAGCTGTAATGCAACTGGCATACCACCACCAAACATCACTTGGACGAGAGTAAAAGATGATGGTACAGACAGTGAACCTCTGCTTCCAATTGTGGATGGAAAATATGCCACGAGTAATATACAGAGGAACACAAATAGAACATACCGCTGTACAGCTGATAATGGAGTAGGTGCCCCTTTTAATCGTACAGTGCGCGTGGAAGCTCAATGTAAGTTATGTAGTTTCTTTCATGTTATTGTAAGCGGTGGGCTATACTCCTTCAAGACTGTTTCACGGCTCAATTCCTGTGCATCTTTATTCACCTCTTCTTTCATACGTTCCACTTTTAGATTCTCCTGGTGTTGAGAAAATTGTTAACTCATCACATTCGGTGGTTGAAGGTGATTTGTTTAACATGACTTGTGTGACATCTGGTTACCCTGAGCCAAATGTTTATTGGATCAAAGTGAACAATGGTGCACGTATAAATGGTAGCATCCTGAACTTCACCAACATCAACAGAAATGATATTGGACAATACAGATGTGAGGCAAAGAATGAATGTGGGATTGTCGGTAGTGTTCAGTCTATTGAAGTTTTTTGTAAGTATGAAACTACACCGTGATTTTTTAAATGTAAGTAACTGAAGTCATAGCCTTAACACGCTTAAAGTTTTTCATACAAACGCCTTCATTGTATCTAGGCTTTTAATTTCTACGACTTAAGGGGAAATGAAAGAAAGCGATGCGTTGCGAAACAAAGTGAAGCAAAGCCGTACTGAAAAACAAAAATTAAACAAATACGATAAAATAACTGCAAAACTGGACGAAAGCTAGATACTTACAAGATTAGATGAAAATAATAAGACGAGCAAATAAGCCATAAGACTAAAACTCTAAACTGGACCAACGATTGGGAAGCACAACGAAGAACTGATGCGAAAAATTAAAAATAAAATAAAACCTAGAAAAAAATCTCCGAACAATCAAAGACTGATGGAGCAAAAAACAGCACTAAAGGCGGCAAGACGAAAATCGAGACGCTAAAAAAACCCGGCAAACACACATACGCTATAAATCCTGGTTCCTCCACTAACAAATGTTTTTTTTTTTTAAACAAATTACCTTATAGTATTGATTATAAAGCTTAAACAGTGTAAAAATGTACTGTCAACTCTCTCTTAACGGGCACCATATATGACGGATACCTTGGTAAAACGGAAACCTTGCGTTAGTCCCTGCCTTTCTTGAAGCGCTTTTGAATATTGTATGGCATTTGCGCTATACTGTGATTGATTCATTCTTCTTCTTCTTCTTCTTCTTCTTCTTATTATTATTATTTCTTTTCTCTCCTTATGTGACTCTCATTAAGACAAACATCACCCTTAGACGGACACTTAGTGCCGGTCCCAAAGGTGTCCGTCTTAGAAAGAGTGACTACAAACTTTAAATGAATAAAAACTAGTATTGTAATCCTTACTTCTATTCCTTTAACAAACAACAGCATCAACTACAACAAAAAACAACAAAAACAATCGAAGGGACTCACAGAAAGAACATAAACCTGGAGAACTTTTATAGGCGAATCGAAAACTCTTGTTGAAAAGGAATGAGACGCATGCAATTGTTCGTGTGATAGAGGCATAAAATTGTGCGATTAATTTGGTAAATAATAATAGAATGATAATCTTTATTGTTGTTCGAAAACAGCAAGAATATTCTCGTTCCCTGTCTTTTTAAATTTGCCCATATTTTTTAACTGTTTAATGTATTTACATCAGTAATAGAATAGTTACGTGTGCCAGATAGCTATCACACCATTCTTGACTAAAATCCTAAAATTTGAGAGTCTGATGATTCTCTATGTTTGTATTATTTACGGGCGGCCTGCATGCGCCGCGTCCTCAAGACAAACTTCTTTAAAAAGTAACTTTAAGATACGGCGCCTCATGGCCTATCAATCTACGGGCAGATCCTGTCACACCACCCTTGAACAGTGTCTCTCTGATGGCACTTAACTGGAAAATGCTTCTTCTCCTGGTTTCAAACCATTCGTCTACCTGATAGCAGAGTTCTCGCGCGCGAAGCGCGCGCAGCCGAGTACCATGGATAAGAAAATTTGGTAAACTATCCATCCGAGAAAATTTGGTTACCGTATTTACTCGAGCAGACGCCGCAGCGTTTATTTCATTTTTCGCGATCTAATTGCGGCGTTTATTCGAGGGCGGCGTCTATTCGGGGGCGGCGTTTATTCAAAAATCACTTTATTCAGTACTAAATATCGTATTACATATGGTAGCTTTTTTGCTAGGTAACAGTAACAAATCTCAATATATAAATGTCGTTCATTTTGTCTATTCAATTGTGATTTTTACACTTCTGTTTCAACTTCTATTTCAACATCACTGTCCTCCTCGTGGTCGGAATCTAACAGCTGCAGCGTTGGGAAAGCGTCTTCAACATCTAAGTCTGTACACTCAAACGGATTAGTCTCGGGTTCACTCAAATTCCCAGTTGTGATTTAAGCATTGGTTTTCCAGAGCTGCATGGCTAACCCAGCTAAGCGAGACACGCGTGCCGAGGCACAAGAGCAAGATTCAAACGCAATTGGTGTTTACTTAATATCAAACTAAAAGGAGACGCTTGCTGGACATGTTCCCATAGAATTGTCAAGCTTATTGAAAAACTTTATTGAAGCGAACGCTGAAAACAAACTTTGTGCACGAGTCACTGGAAAGAGAAAGTAGTACCAGCGAAGTTCTCTGCATTAACAGCAGAATTACGCGTTGCAAAAATTCTTGAAAGAGAACTTCAATTAACACAAGAGCAAAAAAGTACAGTCACTTTGAACTAAAAAATGTTGTTCTAAAAGAAAATAAATTTCCATTGCTGGTTTAAACTTGAAATAGACTTTTCTTTAATAATTATTATAGATCATTATTTCCTCAAATAAACGCCGCACCGTAGACGCGGTGTCTATTCGGTGGCGGCGTCTATTAATATTTTGAGTCTCAACTGCGGCGTCTATTTGAGGGCGGCGTCTATTCGTCTATTCGAGTAAATACGATATGATGTAGCGTACGAACGCCGACCGTTCGTACACCCACTACATGTAAGCCAATGTCAAGTGTCACATTAGATCTTGCTCAAATATTGACACTAGCCTGTCAGTTATATAAGCCATCCGTATGAGGATGAATTTACGGCTGTCAAAATCAGACATCCGCTGACAATTATCACATGACAATCTCGCGGGCCCCTACATCTAAGCTATTAACACTTACCAAAATATTAATGAAACTACACTTTCTCAGGGCAGGGCTGTCAGTAGTTTAAAGTTATATTCGCAAGCCAAATTAAGGTTAGTTGACAGCTGTCAAAATCGGACATGTGCAGACTACTACAGAAAACTAATAACGTGGGCTCATGTACACGATCTGGCATTTCGCCACTACAAGCCGGACTGAAATGTCTTACTCACACTCACAGTCGGCAGTCCGTTTTGTTCGATTATTCGCCTTTCTAATGAAGGTCAATTGACAGCTGTCAAACTAGAGCATCCGCTGTTTCCAGTAATATTTTATTTGATTAGGGGGTCTATCCATCCTAGAAAATTTGGCAATCACGTGACTGTACACCGACCACCTGACCGTCCGCACCACAGGCATACCAAAGTTTAATCTCACACTTTCTAGCTAGTTTGGGAGCCTGCAGACGGATATTACGCTGATTTAGCGACAGAACGGGAACGTCATTTGATGAAGGGAAAGCGCGCGGAAAGGACTAAGCTCGACTTCCGGTGCCCAATTTGCCGCTCAGCCACTGGTCAAGCCAGTTGTTTGATTTGCGCTGGCCGTTGTCAATAGACGTTCCCGTTCTGTCGCTAAACCAGCCTATTGTACATCCATGTGACCGTCCATGTTGTGATCACTTGACAGCTGTTACGTTTCACTAGCTTACGATTGTGTTTGGCCTGTCAACACCGTATTTCCCGCTGTTTGATGAAGTACAATAGCACTATCATTTCTTCGATGTGCTTGGCTCTTCCCACCGTCGGCGCGCGAAATCTCCCCTGGGAACAGTTCTAATTATAAATCTACTCGGGAAAGAGTTGACTCCAAGGGCTTGTATGGGAGATGGAGGCTCCATTTGATGGGCTCCTGACCTGAGTAAATATTTTATTTGATGTGGGTTTTTTCAGGTTTCCTAAAGTGGAGCATAGTTTATGCGGCTAGTGTACTGCACGAGACAATGATCTGACTTACAAGAGTATCAGGTTTGATATAAGGTTACAGAACTTTAAAAAGCCTTTAGACATTTTCTGACCGCAATTGAATACAAAAAAAAAAAAACGTTCCGAAGAATATTTAGTTACGATTTTGGCTGTAAAAAGAAAACTCTGAGCGATTTTTTTGCCTCGAGTTCATCTTGAAAAATAGCAAACACCGGGAAGCCGGCTTAAAACATAAATCTGCCAGGTTTTTCATAAAGTTTATAAGCTTATGCTGACCTGACTCATGATTTTCAGAGACACTTTACCCTGAATACTTGTCTTCGTGAATGAAAATTGTTGTCTCTGTACACGTTTAACCGAATTACATTTATTTTATTGATTGTTAGTAGCCTCTCTCGCAATTTTCATCGCTGCGCCGTTTGTTTTTAGTCGTACATAAACATCGCATGCAGGAGTACTCAAAATGACGCGCGTAAATATCAAACGCGTTTAAAGATTACAAATAACAAAACCATAAATAAAGATAAATAAAACCTAAACATACTTTAAAAATTCTCTATTATGTTGAAGCGTAACTCTGTTACTGTTCATTTACTTGCAAGAGAACCGGGACTGGAAATTTGGCGCTTGTCAAAAGTGAGAACACGTCCGGCTGGCCGTATATTTGATTTTGGGAATTTTTTGATAGTTTCCACTGAAAGCTCATACTTATTATTATAGGAGCATATTTTTCTGACTGAACACTCGGTGCATTATGCTGAATTCTCTTCATGAAAACGTTTTAAATGTGATCAGTTCTATAATTTGTTGTGCAAAGGAAGCACGTGCTTCCATCGACCTGGACTGATTGAATGAGTGCAATTTGTCTTGCAAAATTGTGTAAAACTGCAGAATTCACAGGACGAAATTTCAAGAATCCGGTAAGGGCGGAAACGTGACGGATATAAGCAACTTCCCGTTTCCGTCGAGTTTACAAAATACGGAAACACGTTATTTCGTCCTGCGATTATAGTTTTAAATAGCGCAAGGTCTGTATGATAAAAAAAAACAGAGCCTCATAGTACTGTTTACCTCAGACGTGATGTATAAGAAGTATATTTAAAAGGCTGGTTTACACGCCACCAGATTTGTCACCAAGATTTACTTGTCCCAAAAGTAAACTTGTTGAACACAAAAAATCCGGCCTGATTTCTTATTTTGGCCCCCCTTTTAGACTCTCGGACTGCCAAATTGTTTTTCTCTCAAATCAGTTAGCCCCTCTCTTAAAAGTCACATGAATGTGCCCTAAAGGTAACTGATTTGTGGATTACAAGCTTATTGTTTGACTGATTTAAATAATAATTTTTTTAACGGGAGCTTCAATTTTAACCCTGGCTAAATCTATATATTATA